AATGTATTTGATTATACCTAGGGTTATGTCTTTAGCATGAATAGAACTGCCACGAATCAATTTTATGCTGTATTTCATATTCAGTAGCTTATGCTGTGTAATAGCATTTGTCTTCAATATTTTTCATAGTATGACATACCTGCTAACCCCTAAGTCTCCCAATAGGGGTCATGATCCCCCTTGGGAAATTCTGTGGGGGGTGATAAAGCGCGACAAAATTCTCGCGCCGTAAACCCCTAAGTCTCTCATTAGTCAATAGGGGTCATGATCCCCCTTGGGAAATTCTGTCACAGCATAACATATGTTGTGTCTTCTGCTATGAAAAGGACATTTTGTTTGATTACAAAGAAGCTCCTCTATCTATTTCTCCCTCTCATCTTTATGTACTACATTGGGAATACGACTGCCAGGTTGGAAACTGGAAAATAAATAAAAAATAAAATATGCATTTATGTTAAATACAGGTATTTTTAAGCAATCTTGCGATCCATATCCGGAAGCATTTTGATGCAGATATTGGTATGATCATGATCTGCCATTGAGAAAGAAATGTGCTCAGCATTAAAGTTCCTACATAACGACTTTGTGTTTACAACCTGGTCGTCAGACTTCGTGGAAATCGTTAATTGTTGGTCTTTTGATGTCATATAGAGCACACGAACCTACAGAAAATATNTCAGTCTCAACATTAATATGAAGTCACTCAAACCCACCATCATCTGATCCGTGGTCCATGGTCCGTCGTCCTTCCTTAAACAATTCTTGTTATCGGTATTTCTCAAGAAGTGTGAAAGGGATCTTTCTCAAATTTGTAGGTTCCCCTTGGTCCCAAGCTGTGCAGGGCAACTTTTGAGACTGATCGGATAAACAACATGGCCGACAGGCGGCCGTTTTGGATTTTGATAATGAAAGTTTGTTATCACTATTTCTCCAGTAGTACCTGAGGGATCTTTCTTAAATTTGATATTTAGGTTCCCCTTGGCCCCTTGTTGTGCAGAGCAACTATAGAGACTGATCGGATAAACAACATGGCCGACAGACAGCCATCTT